CGCTGCTTTAACCGGCTTGTCTGTTTCGTTGCAAACGGTACAATGCTGTACTTTAAGCTTGATTTCGGCGTCCATGCGTGGTCACTAGTAGCGGTCTCTGATGACGCTGATGGTTCGTGCAATTAATTGATGCGTCTCGTGTGCAAGATTGATGATATTGCCGCGCGCGCAGCTGGCCAAGTAGGCAGCGCGCGCGTGGCCTGACGGTTATAGCGCTTGCCTCCCACCCAGAAGGCCAGGGTTCGATTCCTGGCCGCGGCTACGCATTTTTGTTGACAGTGTATTTTGATGTTCTGGTGAATTCGAGAACCGTCTTGCTGATTCGAGGCTAGAATGTTCTACGCGCCGAACGATCCAGAAACCCACGAGGGTACATAAGGGGGATTCCGCAAGGAGAGCGGAGTCAGTTTCGCCTCAGCGTTCGACTCAGCTGTTACGCCGACTTCGACGCCCGCGACGCTCTGTTATTATCTTTTGTGCCCTTTTATTTTTGGGCACAAGTTCGCCCCATTAAACGTTTCAGTTTCTCCAGTTATTCTTTGTTTTCTCGCCTGTTTATTTGTGACATTTTGGTGGAGGTGCGGGGTAGCGCATGCCCGTGCAGCGTTCCCCTCCAAGAGCCCGCAGTGCAAGTCTGGTTCCAAGCCCAGTGTGGAGACCACTCCCCGCGGAACCCGAAACTCGGACCAGCCGGCGCATCAAGGGAGAGGATCCTGAATACGGTTCGTTACTGGACAAGCCCAAGACGAAAAAGACGACGATGGCCAACCAGTCGCAGACCCCGGCCGCTCCTGCCTTCATCTACCTGCCCGTCGCACCCCGGACTCCGACGCCATTCCACGGGGACGCCCACGAAGGCGCCGAGGACTGGCTTCAACAGTACGAGCGGGTGGCCCAGCACAACCGATGGACGGACGACCAGCGCCTGCAGAACCTTTACTTCGCGCTCGAAGGAACGGCCAGGCACTGGTTCGAGAATCGGGAGACTTCGTTGATCTCGTGGACCCCCTGCAAGAATGAGTTGAGGCGAACTTTCACTAACCAGTATCGACGGGATAGGGCCGAGGACCTTCTTCGAATGAGAACCCAGGGCGCAAACGAGACCATCACCAGTTTCGTCGAGGATGTCCTGCGCCTGGTCACTCGCGCCGACCCTCAAGCCACCGACGAAAAGAAGTTGGGGATCCTGATGCGAGGCGTGCGAGATGACATCTTCAGAGGCCTCGTCCGCAACCCGCCGACCACCATCGAAACGTTTGTAACAGAGGCGACCAACATTGAACGGGCCCTGCAAGCACGAGCCGCTCACTTCCATCGAGCTCCTGCCGTCGCTGCACCCACGCCGTCAAGCTGCAGCCCCAATATTCCGGGGATCCGAGAAATAGTCCGGGACACCGTCCGTGAAGAACTGAAGAAGCTGATACCTGCCGCCGAACGTCCAGCTTCACTCTCGATCGCCGAGATTGTTCGAGAAGAGGTCCAGCAAGCGCTCCAGCCAGACGTTCTCGCCGACGCCGCACCGGAACCACCAGCTGTGACCTATGCCGCCGTTGTTCGTCGTCCGCAGCCTCCTATTGCTCGGCGGTACCCAGCTGCACCCCGACGAGAAGTCTTCTCGCCGCAATACGCGCCGCGCCAAGAGCAGCGTGGACTTCGAAAGACCGACGTGTGGCGCACGGATGACGGACGCCCGGTGTGCTTCCACTGCGGGGAGGCTGACCACGTTTACCGGAGGTGCCCCTACCGCCAGCTCGGCCTGCGAGGATTAGCTCCAAACGACCGTCGACCTCGTTTTGGAGAACGACCAAGGGACATCGAGGAATACCTCCGTCGCCCTCCGTCACCAGCGCCCACCGCACCACGAGGTTCCCGTTCTCCATCCCCCCGACGTTCCACGTCGCCTTTCCGTCGGTCGCGCCATGACAGCCCGTCCCCCCTATCTCGTCGGGAAAACTGAGTGCGGCAACGCCTGGAGGTGCCGTTGCCGAAGCCGACACGAGTAAAAAGCCTCCAAGAACGCCGGAGCGCTCCCACTCTCCCGACGCCACGCATCGCTACGACGCATCTGCAACGGTGTCCAACAACCTAAACGTCGTCATCGACGGCCACGACGCGTCGGCACTCGTGGACACCGGAGCAGACTACTCAGTCTTGGGTGGGAGGCTCTCCCGCCGCCTTCGAAAAGTCATGACGCCGTGGGAAGGACCCCAGATACGAACCGCCGGAGGACATCTCATCACACCAGTCGGGAGATGCACTGCTCGCGTCGAGATCCACGGTGAAACGTGCCCTGTCAAGTTCGTCGTTCTGCAAGACTGTTCGAGGGACGTTATCCTCGGAATGGACTTTCTTTGCGAGTATGGCGCCGTCATCGACCTCGGAACAAACCGGCTGACGCTACGAAAAACTGCTCCACCAGCGGAGGAACCCCAAGCGACGTCACTCGCGGTTCGAGTCCTCGCAAACCACGTAAGCCTACCACCGCGTTCGAGTGTTTTCGTACTTGTCGGGATCGACGAAGCTTCCTGTGGCGAAGTTCTTCTCGAGGGAAGCCTCCAATTGCTCCTGGGAAGAGGCATAGGCGTCGCAAGGGGAGTAGCCGAACTTCAGGATGGGCGGACTGTGGCCCTCGTGACGAACTTCCGAAACGAAACGCAGCACCTCACGAAAGGTGCAGCCGTGGGCCACGTCGATGAACTCCGAAACCCCGCCGAAATCACCGCGGTTACTGACAAATCCTTGCCGCCCCAGCAAGACAGTACGTCGCCAGCGAAGCTCGACATTCACCCTAAGCTTCCGGACCCTAAACGACGTCATCTGGTTAACCTCCTCGCCGAATACCGCGACTGCTTTGCGACGTCGTCGAAGGTGCGCCAGACCGCCGTTGCCAAACATTGCATCGTTACCGATGACGACGCGCGCCCTGTGCATCGATCGCCGTACAGAGTCTCCGCTAAGGAAAGCGAGGTGATCCAGCAGCAAGTTCAAGACATGCTGAATGACGACATAATCCAACCTTCAAGTAGTCCATGGGCCTCTCCAGTCGTGCTGGTTAAGAAGAAGGACAAAACTCTTCGGTTCTGCGTGGACTACCGGCAGCTCAACACGGTTACGAAGAAGGACGTCTACCCACTCCCCCGCATCGACGACACTCTAGACCGGCTGCGCCACTCTCGATACTTTTCATCGATGGACCTGAAGAGCGGCCACTGGCAAATCGAGGTCGACGAACGGGACCGAGAGAAGACAGCCTTCGTCACGCCGGATGGACTGTACGAGTTCAAGGTGATGCCCTTCGGACTATGCACGGCGCCAGCAACTTTCCAGCATGTCATGGACACCGTACTGGCAGGCTGAAGTGGCAGAGTTGTCTCGTTTACCTTGACGACGTCGTAGTAATTTCAGCTCACTTCGACGAGCACTTGCGACGACTCCGTGCGGTTCTCCATGCCATACAGACCGCCGGGCTCACTCTCAAGCCGTCAAAGTGCCGGTTCGCCTATGACGAACTGAAGTTCCTAGGCCACGCGGTTAGTAACGAAGGCGTCCGCCCAGGCTCCGAGAAGACTCGCGCCGTCGCGGCATCTAGCGCCGAGAGACAAGAAGGCCGCGCGAAGACTCCTCGGACTTTGTGCCTACTATCGACGCTTCGTTCGGGATTTCGCAAGGATTTCCGCACGGCTCACAAACCTCACGAAGGACGCCGAGAAGTTCGAATGGGCCGAGAAACAGCAGCAGGCATTCGACGAGCTGAAGCGAAGACTCCAGACTCCTCCTGTTTTAGGACACTTTGATCGGGATGCGGAAACCAAGATTCACACGGACGCTAGTAATCCAGGACTTGGAGCGGTACTGGTTCAAGTGCAAGAAGGCGCCGAGCGAGTCATCGCCTACGCAATTCGGACGCTGTCGAAATCGAAGAGAAAGTACTCCACGACTGAAAAGGAGTGTCTTGCGGTCGTCTGGGCAATCACGAAGTTCCGCCCGTACTTGTACGGGAGCCCGTTCCGTGTAGTCACGGACCATCACTCGCTCTGCTGGCTTGCTAACCTGAAGGACCCGTCAGGACGCCTCGCTCGATGGAGCCTCCGACTACAAGAGTTCAACATGACAGTGGTCTACAAGTCCGGCCGCAAGCACAGGGACGCCGACTTCTTGTCCAGAGCCCCCGTCGAAACCCCTTACGGCTGCAGCGACGACAATGACGACGAGAGCTTCCTAGGAGCAGTAAACGCCGACGACATGGCACGACGTCAACGGGACGATCCTGAGCTGCGCGTATTAATCGAGCACCTGGAAGGGGGTGAGGGTACCGTGCCACGTGCCTCCTCACGAGTACTGCCGACCTTCGCCATTCGACAAGGTGTACTCTACAAAAAGAACTTCGGTGATAACAGCACACCGTGGTTGCTGGTAATCCCGACCGACCTTCGGGAGGAGATCTTTCAGGCATGTCACGACGACCCGACGTCGGGACACCTCGGTTACAGCTGCACACTGGCCCGTATTCGTGAAAAGTATTACTGGCCAAAGCTCCCCAAAGCCGTCCACCTCTACACCCGATCGTGCCACAAATGCGAGCGACGTAAGAAACCGCCAACGAAGCCAGCAGGTCTCCTGCAGCCGATTGCCCCCCCAACCGCACCGTTCCAGCAGATCGGAATGGACCTACTTGGCCCCTTTCCGCCGTCAACGTCGGGAAACCGCTGGATAATCGTCGCCACAGATTATCTCACGCGGTACGCCGAAACGAAAGTCCTCCCTTCAGGGATTGCTGTGGAAGTCGCCAAGTTTTTCATCAAGTCCATCGTCCTCCGGCACGGCGCTCCCGAAGTCCTGATCTCAGACCGTGGATCGTCATTGATGGCCCAGCTGACGCAAGAAGTCCTTCGTCTCAGCCACACCAGCCATCGCCGCACCACGGCGTACCACCCGCAGACCAACGGGCTAACGGAGAGGGGGGGATGGGGGGTACGTAAGTAAGTTAACAGATCTAAAGCATGAAACAGGTACCTTTTATTGCTACTTGGACATGGCTACGCGGCTCAGACAAACACGTAACTTTGCGTCCTAGGCCAACCGGGTGAGACTCCACGGCACAGCCACCGATGCCAGTCGAAAATCAGGATATGCGCTATGATAATCCCGCCGCGGGGCACCCGAGACACGTAGTTCGGGAAGGTGTGGGGAAGAGGGAAAGGAGGTGACCGAGATGATCTCGTGCGGATTGCTGTCGTAGTTCCGGAAGCAGGGTGCAAATTAGTCGCGTCCGGACTGGAATAAAAAAAACGTGCCAACTAAAAAAAAAAAAAATTTGTTGAAGGGCTTACGGACTTCAGAAGTGGCTTCGCGGACCCCCTAGGGTCCGCGGACCCCCATTGGGAACCACTGTTCTGGTGAACTCGAGAACCGTCTTGCTGATTCGAGGTTAGAATGTTCTACGCGCCGAACCTTCTACGCCGAACGATCCAGAAACCCACGAGGGTACATAAGGGAATCCGCAAGGTGAGCGGAGGGAGGCGCTGCGTATTTTCGAAACGTTATATTGGTATGTTGAGAGCATCGTAGTGCCGTAAGTCAGAAACGTTGAAGAGCTTCCGACACGACGCCCGTATCCCCCAGGCTATCAGCACCCTGCTGTTCTTCGAGGTGACTCCGCAAGACCACTGTATACTCTTCTGCATGCTTAACATCTGCGTACCCCTGGTGCTGGGTACGGTGGTGCTCGGCCTTATAGGCACAACCTCGATGCACTGGTCGGCAATGCAGCTTGTGCTATCGCCCACCCTACCGCTGCTGCTGACCTACCACTTAAGGGACGAGTCTCCGCGCTGGCTTATCACTTCGTGGAAGTTCAAAGATGCCGAGCGGGTTATCCCCTGGGCGGCTAGGAAGAACGGACTCCCGGACCTGGACAAGGTACGCTCAGCGTACTTCAGGGTAGAGTTCCTGTATATACATACAGGAATTCTGCTTCAGGGTCAAGGAGAGCGCCGTCTCGCGTGACGGGTTCACCGCCAGGCCCACCTTTTTCAACATCGTTAGCTTGCCCCTGTTGCGTTCCCAAACGCTCATCGTTTTTGGTGGTTGGTGGGCCATCTTCAACTGCTACTACAGCATAGCTCAGTACAAATCGTTCGGAGGCGGTGCCGTCTCCTTCTACATAATGATCGGGATCGCCAACATGGTCACTCAGACCGTCAACTACTTTGTCCTGAGGAGCTACTGCCGCCGGAAGCCAATGTCGGCCTACTTTCTGGGGCTGTCCGAGCTGATGACGTCACTGGCAGCATTGGTGGCTCTGGGGTTGGAGCTGCCGTTTGCGAAAGTCGCGGTCCCGACCGTCTTCCTGTGGAAGTGGCGTTCAGAACCATGTTTGTGTTCACCGTCGAGCTCTATCCGAGAGCGGTACGCAGCGCTGGCATGTGCGGCGCTTTCCTGTTTGGGCGCCTAGGCGGCATCTCAGCGTCACTTTTCAGCGCCCTGCGACTTCTAGATCCTCCGATGGACAGGTCGATCCCCATACTCGTCAACGCGGTCGTGTTCTTTACATTAGGTTTGCTGGTCCTCTCATTGCCAGAGACGTTGGCGATGAGTGCAACCCACAAGGGCCAGGAGGCTGCGCAAGAGGACAAGTGGAGGTTGAACTCGCCGCTGAAGCGGAAGAAAAAGAGCAGACAGGTTTCCAGGAAATGCATTGCTCGAAAACTTGGCCGATAGGCACTCCAGCAAGTCCCCGGGGTGTGTGGAACGTGGGGATGTGCTCAGAAAACTAGTCGTCGGTCTTCCTTCAACCAGTTCAATCAAAATGAATGGCGAACGGTATCGGACCCAACTGGTCACACTGACTCAGTGGCTAAGAGGCGTAGGGTCTTTTCTGCCACTCAAAGTGCCTGACAATGGAAGCCCGACAAAGATCGTCCTTTTCATTGTCTGAACGGATTTAAGGAAGGCCAACGACTGGCGTTCTGAGCTCAGTGAGGGCCAATATACATTTAAAGGGGTATTCACGCGGCGGATCATTTTCGATCAGGGTTGTGCGTGACGTCAGTAATCGGTGGAAACTGAGCGACTCGCTCCCCGACTCAAGCTTTCACACGAACGGCGGGGAGCCGAGAGGGGCGTCTGTGTTATCGGACGCATTTAGCAGTCGTACCTTCGACAAACAGGGCTCGGTGCGCGATGACGAGAAAAGAAAAAAACGGAGGAGTACACGAAACGGCGATACGCGATCATAGCAGTAGCGTTGTTTGATCCAAAATGTGGCGAACTGTTTCCTACTATAACAAAGGTGCTTCTTGAATGGGTGAACGCAAAACACAAAATATGTAGAATCAAAAACGAGTTATATGAGGGGCTGCTTGGGGGAAGGCATACGTGAATATCTAATACCCCATTCACACGATGATAAAGGCACCTTTAGCTAGGAGACCTTTATTCTCTGCGGTGAATAAATTCACGACCGTCCGCGCGTGGAGTGTGCTCGCGACCCAAGACCACAGGCTGATACGCCAATTGCAACCTGTGTTAAAGGTACCCTTATGCTGCCCGTGTGACTGGGGTGTAAGACTTTTTTGGGTGCCTCGGACAACATGCGTAGCAGCACCAGCCAAAATAAATTAGGTGATCACGATGCCTCCGCCGGATTCTTGCTGAGCAAAATCCCTAAAGTTGCCGGACACGCAAACAAAATACCGCCAGTTGCAAAGAGATCCCACGCAAGGTGCGAGTGTTTCTGCACCCTGCATAAATTCTCCCCCATCTGCCTGGGATGTCCACGTCGCGCGGCTCCGCGCGAAAGCGTGACGTTGTTACCCAGTGCCTAAGCAAAAGGAGGAATTTCTTTTCTGTGTGAATGCCCCATAAGGGTCGTGTAAGCGCACATGAAAACCGGCCATATTCACGTATAAATCGCTAATATTTTAGGAACTATATTGTGCGAAACCTTATTTCCCTTCGATGAACATAAAGCGTGTACGTTAATATAGAGGTCATTTTTGTCTTCATTTTTTAATTAGAAACCTTCTCATGAATCTGGCGGCCTAGGTTATATGCGTGAGCAGGTACAGCTTTCTGTTGCTCTCCCACCATCCGTCAATCGCCTATACTTGTACACACGTGTCTGGAAAATAATTGTATTTGTTTATTTTGTTGCGTAGACAGATAAGGATACTAGCCATAAAACGCGGCAATGGCCTAGGAGCCCTGTACGACTTCGTTGCAATCCAGGCTCGCTGCGCAACCCCCTCGCGGTTCAAACATCTCAAAAGTTGTGCGCGTGCAAAGCGAGGTTGTCGACCTGCGTCCTCCGATACTCTACCTACGGGAAGTTAGTTTTTTTTTTTTTTTTTGCTGTTTGAACAGATTGAGATTATACAGTCAGAAATTGAGGAAGAGGAGGGGATGTGAGGTCCTTCAGAGTGCCGAATGCTGATTCGAATGATAGGTGTGAGGCAAAGGCAATTTGCACACATTCGAACAGGGAGTCGAGGCAAAGGCAGCTATAGCTTTATTTCTACACACAATCGTTCCATTACAGTAGCCTAGAATGGGATATCGGACTCACCGCAACCGCTTGCTGAGGCGGTTCGTGTCAAAATCGAGTGATGGCGCTCCTGTCAACTCTGCTGAAGCTTTCCCGCGGGCTTCTGCGATCGCGTGCGTATCAGCTCATGTGTGTGTGTCTGTGTTTCTTTTTTGTAATGGCAAATTCCACTGGTCGTTTTGGAGCACGCCGGGATCGAATTTGTCGGAGCGAGCCTATTTCACTGGGCGATCGGAATCGAGACCGACGTGTTTCACTGGTCGTTTTGGATTAGCTCCCGCTCCAGATCTCGATCTGGATCCGAGAAAAGTCGCTCCGACGATTTCGGGGGATTCAACCAAAAGCCAGACGGGCCAGCCCTCGGCGCACACACGTGACTTCCTTTCTCGTGGGGCATCTCGCCTGGGGGGCTATGTTGCACGTTTTGGACTCCCAGGCGACTAGGGAGAAGGAAGTGACGTAGGTGTGAATGAACGTATCTTAGCAGCATCACGCAACGCGTCATCAGCGACTCCACCAATCAACATCCAAAGAGCGTTGTTGACGTCACCTCCTTCTCCCTAGTCTCCCGGGAGTCCAAAACGTGCAACATATCCCCCCAGATCTCGCCCATCTCGCCTCAGGAGAAAAACAAACACGTCACGGGCTCCTAGATTGTCTCGACATCAGAAGAATTTGTAATGGCCTCTTGCTCACCCCTTGGCTCGACAGCCGGTTTGTTTTCCACGAAGGAAAAGAGAAGGTATTTGCCGCGCTACGGGCATTCCGGCAATCTTTGCTAGAAGCGCCTGAGCCATTCCTGCCGCTCGTGCGTCGAACACGTGTTAGCGCCGCGATTGCGAAAACGTCTTCGAAACGACCGCGGCGGCGGCTTCAGAAAGGAGATTCCCGGGCAGTTGAATGACGGGAAGGCATCCGCCGACTTCGGAGCAGTGGTCAGGTTCCACTGGGGGATCCGTAGGCGGTGCGATCCCGTTCGGATCGTATGCTCCAGTCCGAATCTGGCCAACTGAACCCGGCGCGCTCCAAAACGCCCAATGGAATTCGCCATAAGATAGCTGGGAAGATTCGGAAGAATCGCAGTAACTGCGTCAGCCGAAGGCAATGGTTTTCCACGTTGAACGCGCACCTTTTAACCCTTGATGACGTGCACGTAATCTCTAATTACGTACTGTGGTTTAAAATGTACTTCACACACAGCAGAGGTCTCATCCAATGTCTTGGCCGCTCGATGCAAGTTCTTATCCCACAGTTATCGCCACCCCTCTTCTTCGGGTACACAAAAAAAGTGCACTTTTTGTGCGTCCTTCACGCGAGCGTAAACCCTGTTCTACAGCCAGGCGCAGAACAGTAGTTTCGCCGGCGTTTGGGAATTCTTGCATTTTAGTCGAAGAACCAAACCGACAACAGTAGTCACAGTGACCTCACGGCAAAGACAGGCAGACGAGCACACGCGAACTGCCGTCACTCGCTTAACGCCACCACCGAAGCCAAACGGAAACACCGCGGCCGGGCGTAGCCGGGACGCAGGACGCTTCAGGACGGTGGATAAATGACGGCTGTTCCCTTTGAATCGGGAAGCGACAGGAGGAGTCTACAGCAGCGCCCCCGTCGGTCTCCTAGACAACCGACATAGAACACCTCACCTCGAAGCATGAACGAGAGAGGCAGGTGAGCTCACTGTAGGCCGCTGTAATTTCAACCATAGCTGGGCGCTTTGTCGTCGCCCCGGGCTTCCATCTCCTCCTGTAATCCTCTTCCTCAGTTTCTCACTGCATGGAAGGAAGTAGCTCTAGTTTTCTAAGCAACACAGACGTACCTCCCGGTATTCTTCTAGTTCCTACTTTGGTGTCCAAATGAACCTGGGTACAACTCATGTGCTACTTGAGGTAGAAGAATAATGCTTTGGAATTTTGAGCTTACATATAGACGCTTTAAACTCGCGTCAAATTGAGCCGCCATTGCTGACCTTCTCTTGTCTTACCGAGATGCCGAGCCACTGAAGCGGGCGTTGACCGTCCTCCACAAAGGACTATGCTGGGGACAAGGACACAGTAGCGCCTTAAGTGGCAATAACCTGTCCTGCTGTGGCAACGATGAAGTAAAGCGAACGGAATAAGAGGAACCAAACGCAGTAGGTTGGTTATTACGACGCCCATGCACAGGTGTCTAAATGCGCCTATATAATGCGTGGAACTACCGGCTATTGCTAAGGAGGGGTGGTATCCTTAAAACCTTCATTGAGGAAAGTAGAATTATTCTTTCTCTCAATCTAGTTATCTCTTTATTCTTATTCCCAAAAAGACACTGTATTCCTGAAGAAAAACAAAGTTTGTAAGTGCTTCAATAGGACACGCCAGTCGCAAAATAAACCGTGTCCCCCCCCCCCCCCCCCCCCCCCCCCCCCCAAAAAAAGCGCAACTTTTACCTTGCTACCTAATCATTTTGAGTTCAAAACCAAATATAGGTGCCCCAGGCTCGTTTCGTTTGTTTACTTGGGAGTTGAAGGTGGGGAGGGGGCATTACCTATTATGTTTTCTAAAATGAAAAACAAAAATCCAAAAACAAAATATAGAAGACTTTCCGGGGGTCCTGGAGTCTGTGAAGCTCGGTGCTTCATTTCACTAGTTTTGAAGAACTCATCACAGTTTCTAGTCCACATTCTTGCGCAGTTGAAAGTACTCCATATAAGCGATAGGACCATAGTTTTTGACAATAAAATAAATGAATATGTGGCTGGGAATACGATCCATGTAGTAACTAAACAGCAGCAGCCGAGGGAATGAACGAAATCGAGGTAATTCCGTGACCCTACTATGCTCCGCTAACTCCTAAGTTGAGGCTGCATTAAGAGCTACGTACCCGCCGGACCAATCAGCCGCCTCCCTTCTATCACGTGACCCCGTGTCTCTGGGCTTGGGTATGGGCGGTAGCGTGAAGATGGGGCGAAAGAGAAGCGTATGACTGGTCCAATGAGGAAGTAGCTTCCACCGCATTCTCTGCTTAGGGCTCTACTAAGTATAGTAGCCCCGCTGACCGACCTCTTTGCACTAGTCTAGCTTAATGCGCACATTGGCGTTGGATTGCGTTTGAGTAAGGAGCAGCGTCCTTTCGGCCAGAAACGATTGCTTGCGCTACAATGTGCTCCGTCGCGCAACGTCTCGCAACGCGGGGC